GTTGGGCGCGGGCGCGGTGGGGGCGGAGGTGGCGCGGTGCGCATGCGCGGGCCGGCGGCAGCCGCGTCACCTGCCGGCCCGCGGGCGGCCCTGGAGTGTCTGCGGGAGGCCTCGACCTGCGGGCCGAGGGCTAGGTAGGTCGATGGGCGAGGGCCTGTGTGGTCACCGCAGCCGAGGAAACGGACAGCGCTCCCCGGTGGAGGTCGCGGCACCAAGGGAAACGAAACTGAAATGCACCAAGGGTTGTTTACAGCCAGGCGTCTACTACTTGTTCATTTCTACATTTGAGGACAGGAGCAGCTGTGTGGAGCCTGTGGTCTCACCAAGGCATTTCTGGATGCCTTGGACCGCATACCTACGGACTCATCTTTCCTGCTGCAAAAGGCCTGGAACCTCATTGTACCCGGAAGCCATAGCCAGAAATCACTGCAGTTCTCTTTTTTTTTTTGGTACTACTGTTTGAACTCACGACCTTGCGCGTGCGAGGCAGGCATGGTGCCAATGAGCTATATCCCTGGCCTGCAGTTCTTTAATACACTACATTTTAAAACATTAAAACTGTAGATCTGGGTTTGCTGTCCATGTTTTTGTGACCCACTCTTACTCCTCATTGACATACCAGCACAGCAGCCAACCAGCCTAAGCCTGGTTAAGAGTAAATTACTAGAAAAAGAACCATCCATTTGATCAATCCAGAAGTCTAACGTGATTTCACTATTCAAAGCAGTAATGAATGATTACCAACAACATCCCCTGTTTCCTGACCAAATGGAAAAGTGAAAAGAATCTACTCACCAAAAACTTGAAACCTGGAGGGGCAAGAAAGACAAACTGGTCTACATGTTGTAACAGGTTTGTAGAGTCCACCAGAGAATTTTGAGGACCAAGTAACAACTACAAAAATAGGAAAGATGCTTTTTGAACTGAATCTTTTAAAATGACTGCATTTTAATAGGCAGAGATGGTTAAGGCCTTTCAAATACAGGCCAGATTAAGGAGGGTAGAAACTTTTATGTGTCAGGTACTTTATGTATGTCTATGTGTGTTTACATTTGGTTATCCGGTGCCTGAAAAATCTCAGATAATCCTCTTAAAGAAACATACTTAAGAATAAAGAGAATTCTGAGATCTGCTGGCCAGTGAGTGATAGATGATGTATCAACATCTGGGGGTTTTTTGTTTTTTTGAGGGGGTGGTTTGTTTTGTTTTTTGAGACAGTCTCACTATGTAGTTCAGGCTGGCCTTGTGAAATGGAAAAAAAAAAAAAAGGCAGAGACTTAGTCTCAAGACTTGCCTTTCCTGCTAAACCCATGAAGGTCGCTGTGCCCTAAAGATGAACTGCTGAAACACCTACCTGTATCTTCCTATGTCTTAGAGGTACACTGTTAGCACAACATCTGCTTGTACCTCCCTGCCCCTGTGCTTAGTTCTGCTTCTGTAAAATTCTTCTTGCTTCCCCACCCTGCAGAAAGACCAATATAAAAATAAAGACAAACAGTCAGGGCTCAGATTCCTGGAAGGAGACTTCCACTGAGCCCACTAATAAATAAACCTACCTTTGCTTTCAACTCTCTTGAGTGCTGCTGTCGTCCTTGGTCTGCCTGCCCTCGGAGCGCTGTAACACTTGGACTCACAGTGTAGCTCCGAGGCAAAAGTGCTTCTCTTGCCTCAGCAAACCAAGTGCTGGGATTACAGGTGTGTGGCACCACCCTTGGCTGACATCTGTTTTTGAGTACAGTAATGCTTTAGTACTTTATGTGAAATAACCTCTATGGCAGTCTTTTGAGCTGCCGTTTTACAGATGAAAAGACAAGATCAGAGGGCTTAATTTGCTGAATGTCTCATCAGTCGTAGGAAGTCCAAGATTCAAAAGTTTTTATGTCTTACTCCCTTTTCTTGTTTGCTTTGTTTTGTTTTGTTTTGCTTTGGTGTTTTTGAGACAGGATCTTGCCATGTGTTTCAGAGCAGCCTTGAACTCTGTGTAGCCCAGCCTTGCCTCAAACTTGGGGCGATCCTCCTGCCTCAGCCTCCTGAGTGCTGGGATTACAGGTGTGCGCCACCACGCCCGGCAACCTTGTATTCCCATATGCATATTGGAGCTAAAGTAGGACATAAAACTGAAAAAGGTTGGAGACAAAAATTTTTGGACATAAATCAATCTGTATATGAATTTATAGTCTATTTTGTTCTAAGAATTTGAAGCAGTTTCACAAAAACATGAATATCAATCTGAATAGATGAGGAAACAAGTAGAAAACCAAAGACAATAAACTAGTCCAATAAACCCTGTACAAAAGGTGAATTAAAAATTGGACGAGAAGAGGGCCTAAGAAGAGAAGAAAGAATAGTTAACAAAAGTCAGTCACTGGGCGGGGGATTTAGCTCAGTGGTTCCACCACCTGCCTCGAAAGCTGAAGTTCCCAGGTTCAATCCCTAGTACAAAAAAAAAGTTACCCACAAAATCAAACAAATCTGTGGTTGTTACACTTCCTAATGAGTGCTGAGAGAAATGTCTCCCGAGTTTTCATAGAGTTACTGTTCTGTATAGTTACTAAAGTTGCCATGGTATAGCTGATAGAAAGCTGATACTGAAGAGTCTTCAGAGGTATCCCTTCCATGCTTTTTTAGGATCGTTTCTTCATAACACCCATTAGTAGAATATAGATGTCTAAGGGTAGAACAAAATTGAGAAGCAAAAGCCTAAGCAGTATGAGGTAGGCAGTTTTCTCCTGATCTGGCTAAAAACTAATACAATTCATCTAAAGCAGTTGTTGCAAGGCCTTCAGAAGTGGTTTATTTGGCTGGTGTTAGGTTTTATGACTAGATGTCCCCTAGAAGCCTCTTGGGAGCATAGGAAGGATCTTTGGAAGGTGAATGGATTATGAGTGCTTAGCTGACTTGTTAAGAGGTGCAGTCTGGACAGAAGAGGTAGGTCACTGTGGCATGACTTGGAAGGGTATAGCTTCCTTCCTAGCGCCTCCCTTGAGTGCTTCTTGGCTGCTATGCTTCAGTGCCTGGCCATCCTGCCTTGGAGCTAGAAGACCATGCAAGGACTGAGACTACTGAAACATGAGCCACAATAAACCTCTCCTTTAAATTGTGGGTTCCTGGTATTGTTTTCAGCAACAAGAAAAGTGACCAAGAGAAATAAGTTGTTGTTGTGACACTACCTGACCATGTGATTCAGAACCCTTTCAAGCTGGCTCATGGGAGGAGTTTGGAGAGGCTTGGAGATGCTGGCTGGGGAAGCAGCCCTAGAATGATGTAACTAGAGTTTAATGGGAGATTCTGGTAAAAGCTCCGAAGAACAAAATGCTGATAGTAATGCAGCCAGTAAAGACCAGGGTCAAGAAATTTCAGTTGCAATCAAGGACTCCATTGACAGTTGGACTCCAGACCATGTGTGTTATCCTGTGGTGGGAAATTTGTCTACATTTTCTTCCTGTTTTAAGACTGCTGGAGACTGAGATTAAGAGTATGGAGATTAGAGATTAGAGTATTAATCTAGTGGAAGAAATTTCAAGCCAGGCAAATGTGCAGGATATAGCAGATACAGTGCCTGCTGCTTTTAGACAGGTTTATACTGAAATTCAAGAGCAAAAACCCTATTTGAAAAGCTTTCAGTTTCAGCAAAAAAGGAAAGGCCTGTAAAATTGGAGTTCAGGATAACTTGGTTTCTGAAAAGATTGGTATTAAAAAGAAGCCAAAGCCGGACATGATGATGAAGGCCTGTAATCCCAGTACTTGGGAGGCTGAGGCAGGAGGATTTCGGCACGTTTGAGGCCAGCCTGGGATAGTGAGTTCAAGGCCAGCCTGAACTATTAGCCAGACCTTGTCTCAAAAATAAATTAATTAATTAACAGACAAATAAATAGAAGCCAAGTACTTTACAGCAAAACAATAGGAAATATTCATTGAGGGTAAATGATAGCTAACAAGGCCCCACCCTACATAGGTTCACTAATTGCACAAGCGAAAGACTGCTTTGAGAAGAGAGCCTCAGGGCACTGTTGGAGAACTGTAGTTCAGGGAAATTTGTGTGTATACATCCCCCTCTTCCACTCCCCCCCCCCCATTCAGCCTACAGTGCTCAGCCATCCAGGCATTAAGCCATCTCTGGAGCCATGACCTAAGAGGACCTGGCTACTGCTTCAGCTGGCAGCAGACCTTGTTGTCATCCACATGGTGTTGGTTTTACAGGCCTACAGAATAAAGAAGTTGTGGGGTCATGGAGGCTTCTAAGCCGATTTCAGGAGAAGGCCTTAGTGGCCAATCAATGTGGCCTTGAGAGTCTTGTGAGAGTGCATGAAGTTAGGAGAATTAAGCCAGAAATGCAGTGGAGACCCCAAACAGTTGGAGAGGCCAGGAATATGAAATATCTGGGGAAAGCCACAAGCAGTGAACAAAGCTAGCCCAAGAGAAAGACCATGAGGGCTGCAACCAATAATGTTGTAGAGGCTGCCCAAGCCCTTTGGAGTTCTTATCTCACTACTGCTTGCCCCGGGTGCTGGACATGAAACTACAGAATCAGATGTTTGCCCTGCTGGGTTTTGGTCTTGCATTTGTTTCTAGCCGCATTCCTCCCATTTGGAATGTGAATGCTTACCCTTGCTTTTGTTTGTTGACAGTGTTTAACCTTTTTGATTTTCACAAGGACTCACAGCTAAGAGTTTACTTTGAGTCTCAGAGGAGACTTGGGACTTGGGCTTTGCAGCAATGCTGACACTGTTAAGACTTTGGTGACTCTTAGAAACTATGTGCATTTTGCATAAAGAGATTGTGGGACTGCATAACCTTGTAATCATAAAACTCCCCTAGCCCCAATTGTGATTGAATGTGAGTTAATGGTTAAAGATACTTGTTAGTTCTGGGACACAAGATAAAGTCTGTAACAAACATAGAGTTCCTAAGTGAATTACCCATCTCCTTGTTTGTCTGAAACTGATGTTCCAGACACAGCTATCTGTAAGACAATCTACAAACATCTTTTGACCATCAACATTTTTTTCTCTTTTCTGTAAGTTCTGCTTGCTAACTTCCCCTGCAACCCCCTATAAAAACAGCCTCGGACTCTGAGCCAGTTGCGTCCCTCAGCTACTTTGCTTTGGGAATGCCATCTGGCCAGACTAATAAAGGTCTGTTTTACTTTCCAACTTGTCTGGTGTGTTCCTTCCCGGGTGATCTTCGTTGTAGTCAGCTCCTCAGAGCGTTTGGTAAGGCCCTTGGTCTTACAAGATAAACACACATCTTTGGGAGCCAAGGGTGGAATATTATGGTGCAGTGTTATGATTTATATGTAGATGTCCCCTAAGGGCCTCATGGGGTCACCGGTGGGGCTTTACAAGGTGACTGGCTTATAGGAGCATTATAGCTAACTTGCTGTTAAAAGATAGGGTCT